AAAAAATGCTTGGACACCATTATTCCAGTCATGCTTTTAATTAATATAATTTCTCTCCTCTATAACCAAGAGCGGAGTAAAATTGTGAATCAGAATCTGTGAAACTTGGCAGGTATAATCCTATACCTCACGATGACCTTGGTCATCAAAATGAGTTTTTCCCTCAGGTTTATTTGTTCATGACAGGCAAAAGGCCTGACATTTTATTTGTGCTTGCCAAAATATCTTCATGTTATCTTATCTTTTATGACATTTTGCTGTTATCTCAATGTTTACCATGTTAATTTGGCTTCATTTATTTATTGTTTGTTTTGACAAGTATGTTTTGTGTTGTTTCTTGTGTATTTTACTTTACACTGTTAAGCACTTTGGTCAAGTGTGGTTGTTTCTAAATGTGCTATACAAAAAAATTGAACTTTAACATAAGCTGCATACATCAGACCATTTATGCCTCTGGGCCCCACCACCTCAAGTGCTTGCCACCACTCTCCTCCCTTCCCTTCATCCAATGCAGAGGCTTATGCATCATTCTCTCTAATTCACTACAAATTAAGCAATGCTAAATATGAAGTTAATTTTCATCCAAATTGATAAATAAGCTGTATTTTAATCAGATCAAAAGGAACGTGTTGGCCCTAGAGCTGCAGAAATTGTTCATACAGTCATGGATTTTGTGGTCTGTTCTCAAACCTTCCTTTAGATTTCAATAAATAAATTCAGTTCAAAAAGGAAACTGTAAAATATAACAGCAAGCGGTGATCATAGGGGTCCGAGCAGCAGAGCAGCTGTATATCACCTGTAGTGCCCCTATGTGCTCAGGCTGCTGAAACAAAGAGACATGTCCTCAAAGATGTGTGTCAAGTTTCATAAAGTTTGGACAATCTCATCACAAGATGTAGGCAATAGTATCATTATGGGCCACACTTTAAGTTTTCATTGACATGCAAATAAAATACTAATAAAAATTCTTGAAGTAACTTTTTGTCAACATAGTCTGTGGATCATGCATACCAAATTTCATGCAAATTAGATGAAGGGCCTTAGACTAGTTTGTTTTACTTTTACTTTCAGTTTTTTGAAAACTACGAGAAAATCTGAAGGTAGAAATTAGCGGCAATAGGTTTGGTAGATTCAGGAACTTTCGATGAAGCACTGGAAAGAAAAGCTTTTATTCTAAGCCCAATATTTTATGAAATGTAAGCAAAAATGAAAATGCATTTATTATAGCACCCCCACAAACAATTGAACGTTCTTAACATTCAATCCACAAAAATCTTTTTTCAGTTGAACACATTGCCTACATAATGCTCATTGTTGCATTATCAGAGTGATGTACAGATTTTTGTGGATTGAATGTGAAGAACATTCAATTGTTTGCACAATCGCGTGAATATTTGTGTCATAACGCGGTCCAGAAATGCTATTGAAAGTCAAACGGTGTGATAAAAATGTTAAATGCACTTTAATGTCCGTTGATTGTCGCAAATGACTTTAAATACGGTGTTAATGCCTTTCATATTAACGCAAATGAAAGTATTTTTTCTTTATTGTGTGCCGAAAGACGCTAAAGAATGTCCAAAAATGAATGATTAAAATGCCAATGACATTACTGAATCTGTGGTACGCGCAAATGTTTGATTTTTGGCGCTAAGGAATGTTTCTTTTGGTGAAATTGATTGCCATTTCACACAAATTAATGCATATTTTCTCGTAATGAACACCAAAAGGTGTAATAATAACTAGAGAAGCACTCAGAGAGCGCAGACCTCCGCCAGGTGGCAGCAAAACCTTAAAGCACGGCGATTGGAACTCCGGCCCATTGGAAAGACTTGAAATCTTGAACTTTGGCGTATTTCTCAGCTGTACTTTGGCCTAGATATGCCAAAATCTAATCACCTGTTCCTTGTCCTAATACCCACCTTGTCTGAAAATTTCATCAAAATCCATTCATAACTTTTTGAGTTATCTTGCAAACAATCAAACAGTCAGACAGACAAACAAACAAACGCTGGCGATTACATAACCGCCTGCCAACTTCGTTTGGCGGAGGTAATAATAATAATAATAATAACAACTAGAAAAGTGCAGTTCCAGAGGAAACTGCATGGTCAAGCTGGAAGCTGCCGATAATGTGAGGTTCAAGTTATTGAAAATGTAAGGTTTAAAGGAGGACTATACTGACCTACATGTTTTGACTTAATCTTATAGTAATTAACTCCAACATAATATCCACGGTCGATTTTTTGTCCATATATACCCCCTGTTCTTTTAAACGACCATTAATTAGCCGGAATTGCTGTTTCCAGGAGGCCGCCATTAACGCCACAAGTGGCATGAGAACTTGCGAGATCATAACATCACTGCGGCTGCCACATGCATTCATGTGCATGATGCATGCGATGTCAAAATGTCTGAATACACGGATATCTAAATAAATTAGACTACCGTCCAATTTAAAATTGTTCATTGAGCAAATCAACTGTTTGATTGCAAATTGAGCCAAGTAAATGGGAAGGGGGTGAAAGCAATTGTCGAGTAGAGGAGGATGATTTTGAAGACCTTAACTTTGCTTAGTTCAGCACGCAGTTTGCCTGAATGTGTTTGCTTGATTATTTCATTTGGCCGTTGTGTGCGAATCTTGTTCAATTATTGAATAAAAAATGTTTAAAATTTGCGGCACAGATTTGCCTGAACGTGCTTGCCCTGTCTTCGGTGCATTTGTCCATTGCTTGCAATGCAAAAATAATTTCTCTCTCACGTTCACGTTTGACACGCTTCACACAATGTTTTCTCCTCCGCGTATATTTTTAGACGCTTAAAAACCAGGGCCATCTTAACATGATTTTATTTTTAAGAAATCTTTCTTCATAATTCGTGAAAGTTTTCCGAGGAGAGGTGGAATTCAGAGGTCTGCTATTTATTCAGATTACTGACATTATTTCAATCTAGCACGGTAGCCTGGTTCGGTTTGTCTGCTTCTCATTATCTCTCCTAAATCATTATTGGCTTGATTATGGTTTTGATTGGTCAGTTGGCTGAATAAATGGCTTGATTACAAGTTAGGCAAAGTACACGGGAATTGATTTAAGGTGAGCTAATTATGCCAAGGTGACTGCAGCTGTCCAGCCTCGCTGGTAATTAGCAGACTTCAAATCGTACTTTTCTTTCCGAAAGCATTTCAAATGGCCTCTGATGTTAGTTCACCTCTAAATTAAAGTTGTGTCGGATAGAAAAAGGTAATAATCAAGCTCATCTGTCTGCCCCATAGAGGAAGCGGGAATATCTTGGTCATTCAACAATCTCAATGCAGGACCGCAGGACATTGGAAATTCATGGCGCTGACAGCCGCACTGACGTCACGATTAGGGGCGCCCCAAGCGGATCGAGGGTGAATTTTCGTCTGCTGCGGTGAAAATGGCGCTGTCCATTAGTTTTGTTAAATCGCTCGTAAAAATTAAAGAAATTGCAAAATAAAGAAAACAAAGTCGTAGGAGCTTTTTTCATGATATATTGAAATAATAACACCCAACTTTCCCAGCCATGATAGCCTTTAAGCCTTTAAGCTGCTAAAAATGAGTTTAAAGCTTCTGAAAATGAAAATGATTAATGACAGTAGTATATTTTGTCCTTTAACTGTGATATAAAAAAACAAAACAAAACAAAAAATGAGAAAAATCTCCAGTTTAAAAGGTATGAAAATGCCAGAGGTAAATACTAGTTAAAGTGGTTTTGTACATGAAAGAAAGTAAAGGGGTTGAAGTGCTTCAAACAGTACTGTATCAACACTTTGAAAGATTCAAATGCAAATGCTACACCTGTAATTGAGATCATTGTGACAGATAAAACAACTGCCATTTAGACAGTGGAATATTTATACTAGTCCACTTGACTGTACATAATAAAGGTAAACAAAAATAGCAACATTTTATGTTGCATGAATATTTACAAAGAAATAAAATTATTCTGAATATTTTTTCTTTTTTAGGAACAAAGAACCCCATATGTGCCATAAACACTTAACATATTGGAGTATAAACAGCAGAAATTCAGCGGCAGGGATTAACCAGTACGCTGGGGCTGGTCGCACGCACCAACTGGACTTACGCCTGACTTGAAGGCAAGTTGCCCGATCGTAGAGGCATAACTTTAAGGCCACTGCGACAGCTGGTAGTAAACAATATTCAGGAAGACCGGGTGTAAATTCAACGCCTATCTGTCGGGAGGTGTAAAGTAAATTTCCTGGCCGTTTCCAAAGGAAACCACTTATTAAGGAAAACCTCCACAAGATGTAACGTTACCACACATCATACCAATTTCATATTCGAGATAAATTAATGCCGTTTCCTACTGAAATGTTGACATAAAAATATGCGGTGTGATTACGAAAAATGACTTCATTCTCACACAAAATTTATTTTTCGCAAAATTGCATCTATATATTTACACATATAGCTTAAGATTATAATAATTATTCAAGCGCAACATAAAAAACACCCTAAAAAGGCTAGGCTATATGTTTTCTGACTTTTGCAACTAGTTCATTAATTTTTTCAGCGAATAAAAAGCCAGAAACTTCTTTTAAAATCAAAGATTTTTTTTTTTTTTTTTTTTTTTTTGCCATCTCCAATCGCACCCGAATCTGGAATGCCCAGTTGGGGAACTATGTACAAGGCTTGCTCATATGCGACCTCGTGCTGCCAACTCAGGAGAGTGAAGACAGTTTGCGGCTCTCCTCCGAAGCACGCGCCTGTCAGCCACTGCTTCTTTACACTCATTGGTTGAATCCTTGCTAGTTCAGAACGAGGGCGGAGGATACCCGAACATGAACAAGCTTAGAATCTTCCTGACGAACGCCCCTCCGGCCAACAGGAGGCGCTTAAGCAATGAACAAAGCAACCATTTATATATTACCTTTCTCGGCAGACCCTTCCCAATTTGCATCCCTATAGCGCAATGGCCAATTGTGCGCTACTCTGAAAAAGCTGCTGACCACTGCCGGTTGGTATGACCGGGGCTCGAACCCGTGCCGTGACAGTCACTTCTGCTTCACAGTGCGATGCTTTAACCGAGTGAGCTATCCGGCAGCTCCAAAAGCACATTTTGAATTGAAGAAAGGTTAATAGCAACAGAATCATCAAGCCCAATAAATATTTTGAGCAATGTCATTAACAGGTATATAAATGATTAAATCAATTTATTTAGGGCCCTATGATATCCGCGATCACGGAATCGCGGACGGAATCGCGGAATTGGCCAATAAAAATGGAATCTATTGATAAACGCGGAATTTCACGAAAATCGGCATAATTTGACTGAAATGCTGTCCGTAAAGCCACGTTTCCACCAAACGCTAAACAAAATATTTGCGCGTCCAGATTACATTCAAAGTCAATGTAAAGACGCGAATGCACGCGAAAATGTGAGCAGCCTTCGTCAAATTCACCTGCCCTGAGTGTTCGAGCAACACATCTCTTCGGTACTACAGAAGATCTGTGGGAAGAAATTTTACCTTGTTGTAGACAAGACCACTGATGCCAGGGATTGCAGGGTCCTAATCATCGTCATTTGTCATTTTATGTTAGCTTAACAACTTTATAAACGTTAAATAGCCTACAATATTTCTTTTCACTGTCTACTTAGTGAATTGTGTGCATGCAAATTATGACGTAACGTCGTCCCCCTGTGGTGAAATAATAGCTGATGCATCTTTGTGTCAGTTTGTTCATGTTTAAGAGGGACCTATTATGCTATATTTCCAAGGTTATATGTTGATCTTGGACTCCCCTTGGACTCCTGATCGTTCAAAGCCCAAACAGGTCCTCATTTAGCTCATACTGCCATCCTCAAAAAACCCCTTTTGTAGTCCATTGCAGTCTCTGCCTCAAACGCCTCATTGGGGTGGCTCTCCCGCTATGGTCCCCACTCCCCGTGTACCCACTTTCTTCCGACTGGCTAGCTCTGTGGAGGGCGGAGTTGGGCGGGACGAGGCTGCAGAACGCAGTTTTCCGAGTCTGGCTCCCCAGAGTGAAACGCGAGACACGTCTGCAATCTGATAAGGAAGCGGCGGGCAAATTCCGCAATCTAACGTTATACTTGAATATAGATCTAATGAAATTAACTTGTTCTAACAAACGCAGCGGCGAAAGTGGAGGACGCAGTGCGAAAATCTGGCGGCTCAGGCTCAAATTTGCTATCGGCTACAGTTTGCTACAGCGACAGTGGCGAGTACAGCAGTTTTTCTACTTTATAGCTAGGATGCAGGGAAAGCTAGAATCCACCCCATATAGACACATTTGTAGAACGGGTCGACATACCCACGTGTGGACCGGAGACTGTAGAAATCCGGTGGGTCTGAGTTTAGAGGGAAACATAGACAGTGAGGAGCAGCTAAAAGTGGACCAACAGCTTATGGACTGCTTCGGTATGTATTATGAGGACCTGCTGGTTCGTGTGCATAACTGTGGTGTGTCGTTAGCGTGGAGAAACGAACAGCTTCTGCGCTGGTATATGACGGAGGGGCGAAAGCTCCAGGCTAAACGGCCTTTTCGGAAAATGGCCGTGGTAATGGTTTACTTATTGCATCGGAATGACAAGCATTTCCTCGCGGAGAATGGGTGCGTTATGGATAGTGTGCGAGAGCTAGCTAGAGCTCCGGTTATGTTATGAGCATAATACAGGTTTTACAGACCGTAAGTTCCGTTTGCGTGAACCGTTGCTTATGTGGAGCTAGCGAATCAATCACTTTTACAGGAAAGAATTTAATATTCAGTTGCCGATTTAATATTCAATCGATAGCAATGCAGAGAAATCCTTTGTGATACAAGACATGTTATAGCCTGTGCTTTTCCCTATTGCTTTCACCGGTAGCATCAGAGAGCTTGCCCAGACATTGGAGAAGTATCAGGCTGACCCCGGTCATGGATAAGTAAAGCGATCGTTTCACAAGCACCCAAAAACGCACCCCAAGCTTTGCAAAACCTACATCTGGTCTAACTGCACCTCTCCGGTTAGCTTCAACTGTAGTGGCTACAATCAGGCAACGTTATGATGAAACTGCCACATTGATGCTTACCGAAGTAACACAAGCATATCAATCAGAATCGCTGCATATAAGTTAACCAGGAGCATTTTTAATGAGCAGAGCACGGGAACTAACATGGAGTAGCTGATAAGTGGTCATGACTTTGAATGTAATCTGTCGCGCGAAAAATTTGTCACGCGTCCGGTGTGCAAGCGGCTTGACGTGCCCGTATTTGTGTCTTTGCATTGACTTTGAATGTAATCTGTTGCGAGAAAAATTAGTTTCGCGTCCGGTGTGAAAGTTGCTTAACGCGCCCATAACACGTGTATTCGCCTCTTTTCATTGACTTTGAATGTAACCTGCCGCGCGAAAAATTAGTTTCGTGTCTGGTGTGAAAGCTGCTTAACGCGCCCATAACGCGTGTATTCGCGTCTTTGCATTGACTTTGAATGTAGGCTAATCTGTCCCGCAAAAAATTTGTTTCGCGTCCGATGTGAAAGCAGCTTTATGGATAGTACGTGACAGCTAGAGAGAGCTCAGTTATGTTATGAACATAATACAGGTTTTACAGACCGTAAGTTCTGTTAGCGCGGACAAGTTGCTTATGTGGAGCTAGCGAATCGATCACTTCTACAGGAAAGAATTTCCTATTTAATCTCTGCCTTCTTCGGCTTTTTATTAGCCATAACAACTTCTAAAGGGGGATGAAATTATGTCATGGTAGTGCAGACAAATCATTTGTTATACCAGACACAGTAGAGCTTCTGCGTTTCGCATTGCTTTCTCGGTAGCACCAGAGAGCTTGCCCAGACATTTGTGACCTATCCGGCTGATCCCGGTCATGGATAAGTGAAGCGATCACAAGCAGCCGTAAACAAACCCAAACATGTATCCCAAGCTCTGCAAAACCAACATCTGGTCTAACTGTGCTTTTCAGCCCAACTTTGCGGACTCATACAGCACCTCTCCGGTTAGCTTCAACCGTGGTGGCTACAATTGGGAAGGTTATGATGAAATTGCCACATTTATGCTTACTGAAGTCACGCAAGCATACCGATGAGAATTACTGCATATAAGTTAACCAGGAGAATTTTTCATTAGCACCTCACTCGAACTAACATGCAGTAGCTGGTAACCGAGCGGTCATAACAACCACAGAGACAAACCCTTGCAATACAGGTTTCACAGACAGCAAGTTCCATTACCGTGGACAGTCGTACCAAGCATCCAAATTACAAACAAGTATAAAAAGTTAGCTTCAAATGAGGTTTATATTCACACACCTTCTGTAGAATTTCCCCTGATATCACTCTTGCATATTTAGAACACAAAAATTAGCAACAGTAACTTGGCTACGTTAGCCACAGTGCTACAGCCACAATCAACTGGCTATCACGTCAGGTTGGCTTATGCAGTAAAAGCAACTTGCAGCTTCTGTGTCTGTGAGTCACGGACAGTCGTGACATATCCAGGCTTTATCTTCAGATATTTTAGAAAGCCTGTGCCTGAGGCCAGTTGTTAGTGCTAACTATCGTTAGCGGTCCTGCTAGCCAGTAGCCACCCGTAACACATTAGCTTCACTTACATTATTTGCTGTTATATCGTTACTTACAGCTTGTGGCTCCGAGCGCTTGATCGATGCAACTGCTTCAGGTTTGAGAAGCAGCTGAAACGCTTATCCTGTGTCGAATTATCCTTTATCAACAAAGCTGTCTTTGGTGAAATGCTGAGCACAATCAGCTAACGTTCCCTTTGGCCGTGTTGCCCTTCGCCAAAAAAAAAAAAAAAATGCTTTCCATGAGATAAATGCCACATTTGTGCAGTTGGTGCCTCACTGTACTGCTTTGCTTTCATGTGACCTATAAAGGAGGTCCTTTTTCAACTTCTTGCTGCAATGTTAATTCTTTAAATTTCCTATTAAAGATCCTTAAAAATACAGGTTTCCTCCTTTTTTACAATTAATAATTTTCATCTCTGTATTAATAAGTATTGTGTTATGCTAAAATTTATTTAAAGTGTAACTTTGGTACATTCGCGATCTGCTTTGTTTCGTTTCGGTCCTTGTTCTTCGGGTCTGGATCCACGCAAGAAAATTGATGGGTCGAAATGTACTGTAAAATATGTTTAATTTCCTTTCTTTGTGTCAGAAAACAATTGTGCATAAACCTTTTGATCAGTTCTGTTAACATTTGAAATATTTGTGGCAAATATTTCTTCTGGTACGGCAAAACGAACCTGTCCTTAAAACAACCCTAAACGTTCGTTTAAAAAAATGTGCAACTCACCGAGTGGTTAGTGGTGTTCGCTGATGTAACAAAACAAGTTTTGTAGCGAAATACAGTTTCTGTCGTGTTTAATTTGGCATTTTGTAAACCCCGGAAGTTTATACGCGGTTGTGAGTTGTCTGAAAAAATAGTTCCGAAATAGCAAATTACACAGATGGAAACCATATTATGCGCCGATAAATATTTTTAAACATCATCGAACACCACTAACCACTCGGTGAGTTGCACATTTTTTTTAAACGAACGTTTAGGGTTGTTTTAAGGACAGGTTCGTGAATGCCCATTGCCAGCCATTCTGAAGCATGGCAGGGGCAATTCTAAATTAGCCAAATACTCGAGACAGGAGCAATCATCAAAATTTCGGTGTCCAACACTCTATTTCAAACTAGAAAACCCAGAAAGGGGGCTCAAAGTGCAAAATAGTGAACTTAGCCTTTAAGTAAGCTACATGAGGCAAAAAATGATGTATCGTCACATTAGTCAAATCCAACTAAAGTCACATTACTTTTTGAATAATTTTAATAATAGGGAAATTGACTAGCATCTTTGTCGGTACATGTTTTAATCTTAGATAACTCCCCCAAATAAGTTAAATCAAACATAATAAATATGTCATAGTTTGATAAGTTGGGCTGTCAATTTTATTAATGTATTTGTTTAGTTATCTTTGCTAGTACTAGCTGTAATGATGGTGGTACTGTTGATATGTTCTGCATTTAGCATTGGTGTGTTATGTCAGAGCAGCACAGACATGAAGAAAAAGACAGCAGACATAGCT